TATCTTGCCTGACATGCACGCCACTTTTGATTTGAGAGTATACATGATGCTCTCTGTTAAGTTTGTTAATTTGGGCGTGGTGCTTTGCTTCATGAACCGACCTAGACAGATATTTTCATCACTTTTGAGCTAACCATTTGTGCTTTTTTTTTGAAAAACTTCAAAAGGAATAAAGTATTTTGCTTTCTTTTTAGTTTTGTTTCCAACAGGTTCTACTGGAAGACAGCCACCGGGCCACATCAATGAAAATTCATCGATGCAATGATCCATGTCCATTAAAGGAGAAGCCGGGGAGTCGAGGAGGACGACGGGGAGGTCAGCGGGCAGCGTGCCGGCGGTGGAGGATACCGCGAAGGCGACGGACGCGCCGGAGAGGGAGACGAGGCGTGACACCTCGCGGGCGGTGAGGGCCGGGTTGTCCGGGGACACGGCGACGCCGACGGCGAGGAGCGCGAAGTAGAGCACGGGCACGTCGAGCCGCGAGGGGGCGAGGACGAAGGCCACGTCGCCGCGGCCGAGCGGGAGCGGGAGCGCGCGCGAGCGCAGGGCGGCCGCGAGCGCGCGCGCCTGGGAGAGGAACGCCGGGTAGGAGACGGCCTCGCCGGTGGCGGCGTCGAGGAGCGCGGGGTGGGCGGGGAGAGGGGACGGCAGCATCGACAGCGCGAAGGCCGGGAATGTGAGCGGGACGTCCGCCGGCGGCAGCGGCAGCGGCGGGCGGAGGCTGCGGAATGACTTGGTTGTGGCGCAGTAGCCGCTGCGGACGTCTATGGCTCCGCCATGGGCGCTGGACATCTTCGACTGGGAAACTCGTGAGTGGGGCGAGGAGTGAGGGAGGCTGCCGCAATTGACAAGGAAGCCCGCAGCAATAAACGTGGGTTGTTCCACGGATTACTGAGTAGTAGTCGTAATCAAGCCTACGGGATGCTTAGATGTGAGTGAAGTCTGATTTAAACCTTAAGTTTGTAGAGCTCGTTTGAGATGAACTCTCACCTTCAAATTCCTGAATTCCGTACCATGTACTTTGTAATTCCGGTCATTTTTAACCTTAAGGTCGTATCCAAACAGACAGGACGTCGGCCTCGGATGCGGTGTTGAGCCCGTGTGCAGGACACTGGCCTTGAAAGCAACGGTCTCGGAGGCGAGAGCGTGCTGGTCGTCGCTCCGGCGTCCCGTCCCCGCCCAGCTGCGCACGCCGTCCACGAACTCCCGTTCAACCAGAGAATCCATGTTTCGGTACCTAGACAAATTGTGGGACGAACTGGGCCGCCTAGGGCGCGATGACTCTGAGGGCATCTCCAACGGGACCCTAAGGCTAGTCATAGTGGGAGTAACTTAGATAGTAACATAGCGCACTTCAAGAATATTTTGCTTATGTGGCATATATTTAATGAGGAGAGAGATGTTTAGAGTAACATAATATGTTACTGTAACATAGCGCTTCCCGAAAAAGAATGAGTCTATAAGCTAATAAATGAAGTCATCTATAACACTACTACTCCCTCCGTTCCAAAATAGATGACTCAACTTTGTAATAACTTTAGTACGAAGTTAGTACAATGTTGGGTCATCTATTTTGGAACGGAGGGAGTACCATGTTACTTTACACTATAAAGATAGTAACTTAGACTAGTGTCATATGCATGACACTAATATAAGTTACTTCCCACTATGATCAGGCTAAGAGAGGACGCTAGGAATCTAATCCTGATAGATCGGCAGTTACCATATTAATTCCCAGCGCACGGTCCGGCATCGACGCCAACTTGGGCACCGAGCGCTCCGCTCTTTTCTCTCTATACGAGATGGCTGGGCGTTCGTTTCTAATCTGTGGAAAGCCCATTATTAACGCTCGTTATTAGCGCTTGCCATTGGAAGTGTTAGCGCTAGAGACCTTTTACCTTTCTTTAACTAGTAAGCATGCACGTGCAACGCACGTCTCGACTTATGATCATTATGTGAAAAGATATTTGCATCTTCACCTGCCCCAACAATAGTCAACATCAGTTTATTCAGTGACCATGAGCTGATGTATTTTGACAAAAAACATAGAAGAAAATTTAATGGAATTGTATATATTTTATATACAACATGGGCAGGTTTACTGAACACTGTTAAGAAAAAACTTGCTGCCAACTAAGATTGTTCAAACACAAGAGCAGAACATTTAGTCTTCGCCTTCGACGGCAACACACCTTTGAGAATGGGTCGAAAAAGGGGCAGAAACAAAACATTAAATCAAAAAAATACATATGTTGATCCTTGTAACCATAATAATTCAACAAAAGTAGAACCAGCTACATCTGCTTTGTTTATGATATGGAACCTAATCAGTTTGAAGGTTTGATCATACGCAAAGCAAGCTGTTTGCCAGTTAAAAAAGATGAAATAAAATAAAGTTTCAGCAGGCTCTCTCACCTGCTGATGAAATACATTGAAAGAAAACAGTGACATAAAAGTTCTTGCGACATTATGCTTCTTGGCATCATCAGAGTACTTGTTCTTTGTGACACAATAGCAGTGCCATCAGATGAAATAGTTACCGTTAGTAAACATATACATGGGTTATTATGAATTCCAAGTTCAAAACTTCCACCAACCGAAGCGGTGTGCTCAACTACATTTGATGTTGTGTTTTGAAAAGCAATCATGTAATCCATGGCTCTATCCTTACTTAAAAGTAATCTTAGTTTTCTGGCCAGTTTACCTCAAACTATGCTTGTATTTCTTTGAACCAGTCATATGGGACATGCATTATATTCTATGCACACAAAAAAGTGCAGACACAATGCAGCATTGTCCTCAAAAAAGTACTCCCTCTGTCCGGAAATACTTGTCGGAGAAATGGATGTATCTAGATGTATTCTAGTTCTAGATACACCCATTTTTATCCATTTTAGCGACAAGTATTCCTGGTTAAATGAATACATATATTCCTCCCAAGTCACAGTACGGTGTCGGAGAAATGATCACAGTTCACTCTCCTGCAATGTAACAACAGTGCATACACATATATTCCTCCCAAGTCACAGTACCTTAATTTCAGAAACTAATGACCAGTCCAAAAAGACATACGTACAAATTATTAGAAAGTCATCACCAGACTGGCAATCAGATAGAAGGGAGAAATGAATTGGTCATGCAGCAGGCCCTCATATGGAGAAAAGAATATACAACACAGTTGGATATGATTATGCTGAATAGAAAACATAAATGGGAGGTACTGCTATCAAGAATCATTCTGTGGCGAAGATAGTTTGAAAAAAGTAATGACCAAGGAAGATAAAGTACCCATCACTGTACCTTCCTGATTCCCTATGACGAGCGTTACATCGTACTCCTCTGTGGAGCTGCTCATTGTTGTGTTGCTTGTTGTCATCTACCTGCGCTTGACCATGATGAAGCACTTTTTCAGCCACGCGCGCTTGGATGGCATCTCCAGGCAATCGGCCAGGGGAACAGCAGGGTGATGCGAGGAGGACGACTGGATTACGGCTGAATAATGATGGTCAGTGACGGCAGAATGATGCGAGGAGGACGCCGGGATTACAGGCGAAGAAAAAAGTATCACTGCACCACCAAGAAAATTAGAAAACTCTCAGAAAAAGGCCATCAGGCAGACAACAAAGTAGACGTAAACATATTTTGATTATAAATAATGGAGTTTGAGTAGCATTAACATATAGTGCAGTACTTAAATGTTTTGAATTGTAGTTAAATAAATATAGCAAACCTTTCCACTTGTAGTGAAGGTGAAAATGTATGGATACAAATAGGTGATTTCCCAGAATGTTGTGCAGAAATTCACCTTTGGGAAGGCTAACCATTTTTATGTTGCTTCACTTTTAGCTTGTCTCACGATGGCAGGTGGGCTGGTCGAGTATGTAATGGTCTTCCTAGAATCCCAATCATCAAGAAAGTCTGAATGTTCATCCTATCGCTTAATTTCGTCGATTGTTGAGGCATGGATAAAAAATATAACTGAATAATTATAAACATCATGATTGTCTTCTGATATGCTTATGAGCTAACACATGTACCTCTCACATACATCCAATTATGGGTCATCATCAGGTTCATGTTCCTGCAAAGGAATAGGAAAAACAATGAGAAATTTAAGCCGAACAAGGAGAAGATCAACAAAAGCTACAGAAAATCAAAAACAGCTAGGTGCCATGTCAAGATCCTTAATCAAAAGCAAACTATATTAGTTCAATAAACGGCAATATGAAAAGCATACTGATTAGGAAGAATTAATTAAGCCAACATATGATTTCTCCTTCCTGACTCCTTTATCCTTTCACACTCAGCTCCCTGAGCTCCTCCTCTTTGTTACATGTATCTTGAAAAAATAGTCATCATGCAAATGTATGTACAAGGGAATTCCATTAGCTTTAGGAAAACTCTAGTACAAGGGAGCTTTTCAATAGAAGCAGTTTAGTTTTGGAATCCACACCATACACAAATTAAAATCTATTTCTAATATATAACTTACAATCTATGTCAGAGAAATTATCAACAAACTAAAAGGACTACAACCTGCAGCATCCCATGTGTATCCACGCTGCATCGCCTTCCTCTAAGCCTCTGCTGCTGCATGAGATGAAAGAGAGTTATTTACAGGGTCGTACACACACCAGAAATCCTGAAAGCAAAACTTTCTTTCCATCCAGCAATCTTTTCAAGGGAACATGAGAAGCACAACATCGGATGCAGTCGATTGATACATATATACAATTTCTGAATTAATGTGAACACACAGCAGAACCTTACTGAAATCTACAATTTCATAGAAACATGTTAACCAAACACAACAAGAAGCTAAAAAGGAGGTGTCCAATCTGGGTGTTGACCCAAAAGTTGCGGAAGGCATCGGCGACCTCCGATCGAGTATGGCGGGGCTGTGGCTTGCCGATGCGGTGACGCTGCGCTCGTGCGGGGATGTGGCGGCGGGGTTGCCGCTCGGTGATGCGGCTGCAGGGCGCTAGCACGGGGCTGCCAACATGGGGCTAGCAGCAGCAACAGCCTCTGCGCGCCATGCTCGTGGCCAAGCTCCGCCTTCGGCGCTGCCCGGCCTCCCTTCTCCTGCCCTCAGCCGCACCACCTACTCGCCTGTTGTGGCCCTACGGCCGCTGCCGCTGTGTGCCGCACATGCACTGCTGTCCGCCATTGCGCCGCTGCTGTCCACCGCCGTCGCCCCCCTTGAACACCTCTCGATGGCAAAGACGAAAACTGGCGAGGAGGGGGAGGAGGATCACGCCACTGGGAGGGCATGCGATGGCAAGCCGGAGGTGCAGCGCCCGGTTGAGGATGAGGTGATCCGATTGTGATCTCTTTCCTTTTTTCGTGCGTGATAGTTGGGTCGCGGCCTCCTTTTTTCGTGCGTGATAGTTGGGTCGTGGCCGCGCGTCGTAGCGGGACGGCAGAGTTTTCGTCCGCACTCTAAAATCGCTAAACGCACTCTTGGCTGGCGGTTAGTGTAATCTGGTGGCTAGATGAAATCAAGTGATTTGGATCGTGAGGCTATAATTGATCAGGGATGTTATGTGTAGATTAGGCTGGGTGCGTTTAGCGATGAATATGTTTGCTTGTTTAATAGTAGTAGAGATTTAGTTTTTTTTTCGTTGTAAGCGCCTGTGCAGGCGTCTAGCATTGAACATGCCCTGAGTTGGCCTTGCAGCCGACGCCGGTGGCGCACCGCTACAGAGAACTCTTTTAGTTGTATTCATAATTTTACAGCTCGCCTAGCATCCATTAACCCATGCAACTAAAAAAAACATGCATGCATGCGGAGTATGCAATCAAAATGACATTCATGAAAATCTAGGCAAAAAAGGGGAAAAAATCTAGGCACTCAAACAAAGAAGGTGATGAAGAGAGGAAATGCATACTGAAGCAAAGAAAATGTTTTGTTATGCCACACTTGGTTAAAAACAAGCATCCATCCTGTATCCTGTATGTGGAACTGATGTCATGCAGATGCACATGTTTAGTTGAAGCAATCTGGTGAAAGTATAATCTCTGTGCAATATCGCTTCCAGTGATGAGCAAGAGGCGAGTGTTAATGTGAGTGTTTCTGTAGCACATGAGGTGGACTATTTTGGTATCTGCAAGAATTATCGTGTGTGGGTGAAAGACACGTAACGCAGGGGTGAAACAAATGATTTGGAACAAATTCAATTAATAAAGGACATAAAAGATGACGGGAGGAATGTAAATGTTATTTATGATGCAATTGATAGGTCTTCGAGAGGATGCGGCCGAGGAGATTACACAAACAACCCAGGGAAAAGCATTGCCAACAGGTCTGCGATGGACAGTCGGCGCTGCCGGGAACTACGCCGCCACCGCGGTGTTTCTTTCCAGCGGGAGCTGCCCTCTGCTGGAGGGGCAACTGGGCGACGACGCGACGGTGCCATTGGCGATAGGGGGAGAAGGCGAGATAAGGGGAGGAAACAAATGCATATGCTCTTTCCTTATGACGTGACATGTGTAACCCTAACGTCTCATCTCCAAAGCAAACTCTTAGAACCTTCAACCTGGTGTCCCGAACACCATCATTTGGAAGCTCTCCAGTGATGGATCTTACTCTGCCAAGACGGCCTATTTAGCCCAATTTGCTGGACTTGTTCAATCCAACTTGCAAACCATTGTCTGGAAGGCTTGGGCCCCCCCAAAATGTAAATTCTTTGCATGGTTGGTCACACAAAATCGGGTCTGGACGGCGGACAGGTTGCAACGTCGTGGGTGGCCAAACTGTGATCGTTGCCCGCTTTGCAATCAAGTGCGAGAGTCCGCGGCACATCTACTGTTCAAGTGCCGCTTCTCCATTCGGGTCTGGAAGGAGGTCCTTGCATGGCTGCACCTTGATGTTGATACCACCCACTGGCTGAACTTTGACACAGTAAGGTTTTGATGGGATGGAGTCCTCGCCAACAATGCGCACCCGAGGAGAGCCTTGGCCTCCGTACTACACCTTGTAAGCTGGGAGCTCTGGAAGGAGCGGAATGCACGCGTGTTCAGGACCAGGGCGGCGCCTGTGGCGGTCATAGTGCGAGCTATTAAGGAGGAGGCATCTATCTGGGCTATGGCGGGCGCCAAACATTTGTGTAATTTGATGCCGCGAGAGTAGGCCTTTGTCCTTTCGCTTTGGCGGGGCTGTGATGTACTAATCCATACTCTTCTCCTTATTCAATGAAAATGGCAAATCTTTTGCCTCGTTTCAAAAAAAAAAGCCCCTTTACGGCAACGGCCTTACGCATCACACATACCAATCCTTTTCCCTCCATGAACAGAAAATAAATAAAAGAGCCTCGACATATGATATGATTATCTCAAATGTGGCATGCAGAAACTGATCAACTAGATCCACGCCAACACCAGAGTGCTCTGCTTGGCCAGTTCGCGTTCCACTCCAACACTCTTGCACTGCATCCACCAATCTGAAAGCCTTCCTTTCCATTTATTCCGCGGCTTATCCCTAGCTATCCTCCAAAAGTTCATGGCTTCCTTCCCGCCACAGCTCACCTCCGTCCCATCCCATCATCTAGCCGCCATCCACCATGCAAAACCGTAACCAACTCAACTGAAGCCTCTCGATCACCCCTCCAACGTCTATATAAGCCGCGCTTCGCTCTGTATTTCTTACACCGGTCTCAGTCTCACACATACAGTAGGTTGTAAGCCAGAGCGACGGTCACGATGTGGAGGTCCATCTTGCTCGCGGCGGTGGTCGCGCTGGCGCTGGCGCCGGCGCCGGCGCTGGGGATCCCGTTCAGGGAGGAAGACCTGGCCTCGGAGGAGAGCCTGCGGGGGCTCTACGAGAGGTGGAGGAGCCACTACACGGTGTCGCGGGGGGGCCTCGGCGCCGACGCGGAGGAGCGCCGGTTCAACGTGTTCAAGGAGAACGCGCGGTACGTCCACGAGGGCAACAAGAAGGACAGGCCCTTCAGGCTGGCGCTCAACAAGTTCGCCGACATGACCACGGACGAGTTCCGGCGTACGTACGCCGGGTCCAGGGTGCGGCACCACCTCTCCCTCAGCGGCGGCCGCCGGGGCGACGGCAGCTTCAGGTACGAAGACGCCAACAACCTGCCGCCGGCGGTGGACTGGCGGCAGAAGGGCGCCGTCACCGGCATCAAGGACCAAGGGCAGTGCGGTACGTGCATACACTCATGAGTTTCTTTCTTTTCGGCCGTTGGATGTGTCAAAAACTATGTGATTCATTCTGCTGTGGGAGGCCATAAACTGTTCAAATAAGGGAGCTGCTGGGCGTTCTCGACGATCGTGGCGGTGGAGGGCATCAACAAGATCAGGACGGGGAAGCTGGTGTCGCTGTCGGAGCAGGAGCTCATGGACTGCGACAACGTCAACAACCAGGGCTGCGACGGCGGCCTCATGGACTACGCCTTCCAGTTCATCCACAAGAACGGGATCACCACCGAGTCCAACTACCCGTACCAAGGCGAGCAGGGCAGCTGCGACCAGGCAAAGGTGAGTGACAATAATCCCCGGCTTCCGGCCGTTAGCCGAGAATCTTGTCTCAAAATTTTAAAAATCGCATGCCAAATGTTGCAGGAAAAGGCTCATGCCGTGACGATCGACGGCTACGAGGACGTCCCCGCCAACGACGAGTCCGCTCTACAGAAAGCCGTCGCCGGCCAGCCCGTGTCCGTGGCAATAGACGCCAGCGGCAACGACTTCCAGTTCTACTCAGAGGTACGTGATCCGATCCAACTCCGTGCAGTTGATACACAATCACAAATGCCTTGTTCTTGTCTATGCTATGTTCAGTGATGAGTGACAACTCTGATCACCCTCAACGAACGCAGGGCGTCTTCACCGGAGAATGCAGCACGGATCTCGACCACGGCGTCGCCGCCGTCGGGTACGGCACTACCAGGGATGGCACCAAATACTGGATCGTCAAGAACTCGTGGGGAGAGGACTGGGGTGAGAAAGGCTACATCAGGATGCAGCGCGGGGTGTCGCAGGCAGAGGGGCAGTGTGGCATCGCCATGCAGGCGTCCTACCCAACGAAGTCGGCACCACATGCTAGCACAGTCAGGGACGGGTCTCATACGGATGAGCTCTAGATGACATGCATACATGCGATCATTCCGAGTGCGAGCTCTGCGTTGAGGAGAACTGAATCTCCCACTGTTGTGTTATTTACTTTATGCAAGATGTTACCATACGAATGTAATAAGCGTAAGCAAAGGGCATTATAGCAAAAGAATTGCAACTAATTTGTCAAATGATTCAATGAAATTCAAGATTGGGTTGTATTCAGATATTTCCCTGAACCAACACCTGCTGGTTTTCCCCTGAATAGATCGATTGAGCAAGGTGACCATGTCGGGCGAGGGCGAGCTAGGCGATGAAAGCGAATAGTACTAAGAGCATCTCCAACAAACGCCGGTCGCGCCGCGCGCAAAAAATAAATATGCCGCACGCGCATCGTCTGATTTGGCACGGCGCGCAGTGCTAGCTCCAGCAGCCACGTTAAAATGCAGAGCGCGCGTGCCGCTTCAGCAGCGCGCAAAAATACAGCGCGCGCGACTCGCACAAACAACATATGCATTCGAAAACAGAAGCAAAAAGATCAAAACAAACAAAAATAAATAGTTCAATTTCGTTTATTACAACTTAAACAAACAGTTTATCGTTCAATACAACAAATAGTGCAATTAAACACAACAAATAGTTCAATAATACAATAACGAACGCACAAATCATGATGCTCTTTGCCGTCCATTCCATGCCCACCACTCCTCAATGAGATCCTTCTGAAGATCATTATGCGCCGCGGGACGTCGAATGGCATGATAGGAGGCAACAAAACGGGCAACCCTTTCAGCCCTCCGTCGCACTCGCGCGTGATATCCCAAGAGCTCATACTGAGAGTAGTCTACATCTTGGCCACGCTCATTCTCGATTGTAACGCCCGAATAATTATGCTACAGTAAAACTCTCCTAATGATGCCATGTCATCTGTGATTACTGTTGCTAAACTTTCGTTAGTTCAAACCGATTCAAAAAAATGGCAAACAACAAAAGTTTTTAAAAGTTGAAACAAAAATGTTCGGTTAGTGCCAAATATTGCACTGGTATTTATGGTGTAGTAAACACAATTTTACAATATACTTAAATGCCCTAAATTAAATAAAACAGAAAAGGAAAATAAATAAAAGAAAGAAATTACAAAAAACAAAAAAGGAAGCCCCCCTGGACCAGGCGGCCCAGCTCACAGGCCGGCCGGCCCACCTGGCCCATAGCCATCAGCCGGCCCAACCCCCCTGCCTCGTCTCCCTTCTCTGTTCCCCCGACCCGGGTCGGAACAGGGGCGAGTCCCCGCCCGACCGCCTCGCTGGCACCAACGCCGGGAGGAGATAAGGCCGCCACGCCCTCGCCTCCTCGATCCCTCCTCCCACTCGCCCCGCTCTCTCCCTCGGTTCATGTGCCCTCCCACCAGATCCTCCTCGCCCAGATCCACCACGGCCACCATCAACGTGCTCTCCGCCGTCCCCTTCACCTAGGACCGCGCCAAGGGCTCCGTTGCCAACCTCTCCTTCACCCACGACCAGCCCCTCGAGCTCGGTGCCCCTGCATCGACTCCGACGCCAACTTCTTCTTCCTCGGCAGCCACCGGCGTTCCTCTGCGATTCCGGCGCCCTGCTGCTCCTAACCTTCCAACGAGCCACCGTGTGCTCCTACGTAAGCTCCTCGACCTTTCCCCTATGCTAGCGCCATCGATCTCGCCCCCTAGTTGCCGTCGCCATTGGTGCTGCCCCGCCGCCATGGTGAAGCTCGTCGCAGTGGCCACCGTTGCCGCAGCTCGCGTTCGAGCTCGTCGTCGAGCTCGTGAGGTTCCCAGGAGCCCAACGCGCGCGCACGCGAGCCTTCCCGTGCCCCCTAGCGCAGTGCTCGTCGAGAACCCGAACGCGTCGTCGCACGCGCTCGTCGCCGGCACCCATCCGGTGACCCTTTTGGTCCCTGGCTTGTGCAGTTGTGCTCGCATGCGCACGCAGGCCTCGCCCCGCCCTTCTGTTTGCCAAATAGCGCGCCGCATCGCCCATCCCTCTCACGGCCGAACTCCGGCGTCCGCCTCTCTGTTCGCCGTCGCCGCTCCGGTGCGTCTCCGGCCACACCACTAGATGCGGCTCACTGCACTCTTTCGAACGCCACCTCCTGCGCTCGAAACGGACCACCACCGCGGATTTCCGGCCACCTCCCGAGCCGCGCCACCGCGTTTTGCCTCGTCGGCGTCGTTCCGGCGCCGTCCGCCGACGTGGCTAGGCGGGCCCCACCCCTGGGTCGCTGCCTGTGGGCCTGGGGGCCCCAACTGGCCATGTTGACCGAAGTCAACTTCGCTGACGTGGCAGCTACTGCCACTGACATGCGGGCCCCATGCCATAAAACAAATAAAAACAAATATATAAACTGCTAATTAATCAAGTTAATTAACTAAAACCTAATTAGACACTGACTGCTAGGGCCCACCCACTAATTAACCTATTTAGTTAGTCTAAACCACCCTATTATTGCCCCCTGACAATGACATGTGGGTCCCACTGGACCCACCTGTCTGGTTTGACTGGTCAACCGACCAGTTGACCTGCTGACATCACTCTGATGTCATGCCTATGTCATCATTCACTGTTTTGGATAATGTTAGAATTAAATAACTAATTAAAATCAGAAAATGATTTAAATCTTTAGAAAATCATATCTTTTAATCCGTAACTCGGATGAAAATACTTTATACATGAAAGTTGCTCAGAACGACGAGACGAATACGGTTACGCAGCCCATTCATCCGTCACGCATCCCTAGCATAGCGAACACACAACTTTCCCCCTCCGATTCATCTGTCCGAAAACGCAAAACACCGGGGATATTTTCCCGGATGTTTCCCCCCTTCACTGGTATCACCTCATACCACGTTAGGGCACCCCTAGCACCGCTACTTGCCATGTCATGCATCGCCATGCATTTGTTTGCATTATATTTATTGTTTCTTCCCCCTCTTCTCTCGCTAGACACCGAGACCGACGCCGCTGCTACCCAGTACGACTACGGAGTTGACGACCCCTCTCTCTTGCCAGAGCAACCAGGCAAGCCCCCCCTTGATCACCAGATATCGCCTACTCTACTCTCTATACTTCTTGCATTAGAGTAGTGTAGCATGTTACTGCTTTCCGTAAATCCTATCCTGATGCATAGCCTGTCCTTCCTACTACTGTTGTTACCTTTACCTGCAATCCTAATGCTTAGTATAGGATGCTAGTTTATCATCAGTGGCCCTACATTCTTGTCCATCTGCCATGCTATACTATCGGGCCGTGATCACTCGGGAGGTGATCACGGGTATTTGCTATATACTTTATACATGATACATGTGATGACTAAAAGACGGGTCGGCTCATAGGAGTAGCCGCGAGTGGATCTTTGTGGCGAAGCGACAGGGTAGGTTGAGACCACCTAGGAGAGAGGTGGGCCTGTCCCTGGTCGGCGTTCGCGGTTATTTCAAGATAACTTGTTTAACGAGATCTTGGTATTTGATCTGAGTCTGGCCACTGGCCTATACGCACTAACCATCTACGTGGGGACAGTTATGAGCACTCGATGTTGTGGTATCAACCGAAGCCTTCGTGACGTCAGCGACTGAGTGGCGCGCACCGGGTTGGACTGGAACGCCTACTCTTGTATAAGGGAGGCTAGGTCTGCTCACCGGCCGTGTTCGCAACGTGCAGGTGTGCAAAGGGCGATGGGCCCAGACCCCTGCGCCATAGGATTTAGACCGGCGTGCTGACCTCTCTGTTGTGCCTAGGTAGGGCTGCGACGTGTTGATCTTCCGAGGCCGGGCATGACCCAGGAAAGTGTGCCCGGCCAAATGGGATCGAGCGTGTTGGGTTATGTGGTGCACCCCTTCAAGGAAGTTAATCTATTCGAATAGTCGTGATCTTCGGTAACGGGACGACTTGGAGTTGTACCTTGACCTTATGACAACTAGAACCGGATACTTAATAAAACACACCCTTCCAAGTGCCAGATACAACCCGGTGATCGCTCTCTCATAGGGCGACGAGGGGAGGATCATCGGTTAGGGTTATGCTATGTGATGTTACTTGGTGAACTTACCATCTACTCTCTTCTCCTGCTGCAAGATGGAGGTTACCAGAAGCGTAGTCTTTGATAGGACTAGCTATCCCCCTCTTATTCCGGCATTCTGCAGTTCAGTCCACATATGATAGCCTTTTCCATTTGATACCAATGCATACATATGTAGTGTAGCTCCTTGCTTGCGAGTACTTTGGATGAGTACTCATGGTTGCTTTGCTCCCCCTTTTCCCCCTTTCTATTCTCGATTGTTGCGACCAGACGTTGGAGCCCAGGAGCCAGACGCCACCGTCGATGAAGACTACTACTACTCAGGAGGTGCCTACTACTACGTGCAGCCCGCTGACGACGACCAGGAGTAGTTTAGGTGGATCCCAGGGAGGCCTGCGCCTCTTTCGATCTGTATCTCAGTTTGTGCTAGCCTTCTTAAGGCAAACTTGTTTAACTTATGTCTGTACTCAGATATTGTTGCTTTCGCTGACTCGTCTATGATCGAGCTCTTGTATTCAAGCCCTCGAGGCCCCTGGCTTGTAATATGATGCTTGTATGACTTATTTTATTTGTAGAGTTGTATTGTGATATCTTCCTGTGAGTCCCTGATCTTGATCGTACACGTTTGCGTGTATGATTAGTGTACGATTGAATCGGGGGCGTCACAAGTTGGTATCAGAGCCGACTGCCTATAGGAATCCCCCTTCCACACTACTTGGCCGAAGTTGAGTCTAGACATTACAAAAACTTTTACTAACATGGTTGTGTGCCTTACGGGCCCACGTTGCCATCTGGGTGGTATTAGGATCTTTTACTCCTCGATCCTTACTCTAGGACTCTGAACTCTCTCCTACTGGGGTTAAACGATTTTACTAACTATAATATTAGGATCCCGTGACCACGTTCACCCCAAAGTTGGATAAGCCCTAGTTATTCTTTAGAGTAGTATTTGAACATTATCCACATTGTCATTTGACTCCTGTGAA